AGTTTCACCATTTGCATTGCTGCTGATCACACAAATTTATGCCGGCAGCCAGTTTAGAGTACAGGCTATTCGAAAAGTGATATGGCCCACTGCGATAATGTGCACCTTTTCATGCGTCTGTCAGCCTGTCGTGATAGCCATTGCACCGCTAACACAATCACTATGACGCCCGATTGGCCGGCCAGCAAAGGCCAAAGTCGGGACATCAACCGCCTCTATACCGCAGGTATGGTTGCCAGGCTGATTTTATGAAGCATGATCGTGCAAGTGGTGCAAACGTCCTTGTTTTGACGCTCATCAAACAGAGAATCAGGTGGGGGATGGCAGATGGATGGATAGGATGGCCTGAAGGCCTGACTACCTGCCTAGACTCACGGGACAATGTGCCTCCGAAATTATCCTTCATGCATACCAGGTACATATTTCGGTGGGTGTCGCTATTATTAGCGTCGACAGAAGCAATATCACAAGACTTAAGATAGAAAATGTGCACTCAAATGTGCAGCGTTTTGTGGTTCATTTTTGGTCCTGTAATCACCGAGTATGCAGACTTGAGCCATACAAAGCAGAGACCAGAGACATGATGACCACTGGCCTGAATCCCTTCTAAACCGCCCCAGTTCGGCCCTCCCTTCTCCTCCAAGCCAGCCTACATCAGCCGAGTCAATGAGCACACTGCCTCACCCCTGGTCGTTTGTGCCGAGCAGACGAGCGTAAGCGCCCACACTATTGTTGCCAGGCCTTCACATTCATGATGGTGGCTACTGCAGAAGTTCTCGTTGCGGTGGCTGCAGGGGCGTGAGCCATTGAAGACGCTGCCATTGCCAAGTGGCAACGAGCCATGCTCGAGCCTTGGACTCGGTAACTTGGCTCATATTGGACCGCATGATTGACGCCGTCTTGTAACCCCATCGAGATCTTTGACCCTGAAGCAGGAACAGCAGCAATGGCAACAACTGTTGTCCCGCGACAACGAGGCCGAATCTGACACGCACCGAGGGGGCATGTGGAAAGGGTTTATTGGTATCATAGTGCATAAGATAGGGGCGATCGAGATTTTCCAATCATAGTTAAACGTATGTTTGCAAAACACTGAAAGCAGTCACCCATACCAGTGTCCACCTCAAATGTAATAAATGTTCTCGTTTGGAGTGACGAATAATAAACTAGAAAGAAGTAGAGGCAAGAGGCATAGGATGCAAGATAGGGGGAGGAGGAAGAAAGAATGTGAATATGGAATGAAAAATATTATGCATAAGATAAATGGTTATATTAAGGGATTGGTTAAAAGACAAGTTTAGTTGGTGGTTTAGTTTTATTCGGACACAGTGCTCTGACGACACGTGCATCAATTAGTTACCGAACAAATTTGATTAAAAGGGGTCCAGAAGCCTAGACTTATTCTTATTTGTTAGTCTGTCTACTGCCTGTCGTCATCTGCTTACATGGCAGTATAGACAGTCCAACTTCAAAGTCCTCCCCCGAGCTCGATCCAACTAATGCCACCACCCTATCCTCTACGTCCCTCATCGAGTCCTGTCTCCGTACCCACCTCTGAGCTGGTCTGGCAACCACTAACTGCTTGTCTGCGGGGCGTTGCTGCTATGCCCTCTTTTCGTCATGTTATTCGCTGCCCCTCATCCGAAATGATGGAATGCTCGGCAGTCATTACAGGCCATTTCTGCCACTCGCATGGAGGCTATTTCATGTGAACACTGGTTTAGTCTTTGAATGGCCGGCCTATTTGGCTGTCCACTCGCTATCCTGTTCAGTAAGACTCATTAATCTTGGTGTCTCTTATAGTGGCCTAGTGACGCTGTTCATTCATTCCCTTTACAGCCTCGAACTAGACTTGCGACCTAAGCCTTCCTGTTAGACACTTGGGTCTGCTAACTTGCTGCCAAAATATGATCACGACGCTGCCTCTCGTAATGCTCCTCCTTTCAAAATCCTGCGCCAAAACAGAAAACATCCCCCTTTGGTTTTGCTCCTTTCGTCTACAGAACTTTTGACCGACAGCCCATTCAGCCCATTCTTTTCACCCTAGTTAAGCTCCAGGAACTGCTTACGCCTACCCACCCATCTACCTTTCCCCCCTCCACACACATACATACCCATACACATACCTACCTAGGCAAATTTTTGGTGAGAATGTAGCTCTGTGACCATGGTTACATGTGTTGCATGAATGCATGTGTGTACCCGTGTTTTGCATCATACAATCTGGTGCTCATCAATTTCCAGTTCTTACAACCATCAGAGACATTCTATCACCTCATTCATTCTCTTCAGCGAACCTCCATTTCGCCTTCCGGTACTTGGCTTCTCTCAACTGAGTGAAGAGGGCTGAACCGGCGAGACACAAAGCTATGTCATTTAAGCTTCAATAGGCGCAAGCAATCATGTTCACCCATGCTCCATCTCTTCTGCTGTCGCCTTTCTCATTCCTGCCTTCGTCCCATTTATTCCAGTCATCGTGGTCATTACCATTAGCCTAATTTAAGAGTTAGAATGATCGCTCTCCCTGTTCTAGATGGAGTTCAAAAGTAGTGCAAATATAAGCTTAGAGAGAGTGAGAATGGGGTACCTCTGATTTATCCTCCTTGACCAGTCTCTTCTCTCTTTCATGTCTTCCTATACTTCATATAGTCTCTCTCTTATTCACCAAGACCCACACAGCCTCTCTCGCGGCCATTCCCATCTCTCATCCTCGCTGGCTGTATTCTTTCTCAATGGATGTAGGTAGTGCTTTGACGGGTTGCTTGCAAGAACTTGCCGAGCGACTGTTTGGTAGGAATTTAGACTGACCGACATAATGTTCACGCAAACAATTCTATTACCAGCCCTTCATCGCCCTAAACGAAATAGGGTGGATACATCTCATATAACGGATTTACCGGTAGTCTCAAAACTCTACTTAAAAACGAAAAATTATATATTGTTTTTCGTATATAAGTAGAGTCTCGAGGCTACCAGTAAATCAGTTATATGAGATGTATTCATACTATTTCGTTTAGGGTGATGAAGGGCTGGTAGCAGAATTTTCCCACAATGATGTGGGTAGAGCTGACGTTTCCATTAAATTTCACATAGCCTTGCTTTCCCAAAAGTTGTTCTCATTCACGAAGGACTGCAGTTTCGACCTCGCATAGGTAGACTCTCGTAAGGGGTGTTGATAAGACCTATGCGAGGTCGAAATCGCAGTCCACCTTGGATGAGAACAACTTTTGGGAGAGCAAGGCTCTGTGAAATTCAATGGAAGCGTCAGCTCTACTCATATCATTGT